ATAGAAATAACAGTAACAACACCAAAATATGCTTTATGTACTGGAGGCAGGTTGCCTAGGGCTCACCAGCCAGTTGGCTGTGGGCAGTGTATTTTCTTCCTGTGACTAAGCCTCCTCCTCTATAGAATGAGATGCAAATAATAGTGCCTGTCTCAGTTACTTTTGTCTCATTGCTGGGATGAATACCTGACATCCAGAATTAAGGAAGGAAAGGTCTATTACAGTTAGTGCAGGTTCCAGTCCACACTCAGCTGGCTCCAAGGCAGAGCAGCACATGGCAGAGAATAACTTTTCATGGTGGCAGAAAACAGCAAAGAGCACAAGGAGGAGCAGTGGCTACAGCAACAGAGACAGAGGCAAGCCTCTCTCCCTTACTTGCACTCAGGCTGTCTGCCCCAGGCTGGGTGTAGCACTCACACCCATAATCCCAGCATTAGATCATGAATTAATCACAAATCCTAGAAGCCCAACCCAGTGACTACATGAGGCTTTGGGGGGACACCTAGGTATATACCATAACAGTACCTATCTCAAAGCCTTTATGTTCTGGACAGGACTAAGTGACACCTTGCCAGGAAAGCCCTTGGCATGATGCTTGGCCCTGCTGCAGTGGTGGTGATGATGGCTGGGGGCTGGGGATGTCACACTCTAGTGTACAAGGTCCCAGAACTAAGCAAATAGAGAACAGCATGACTTGTGCTCCCTTGAGGAAGGTTGAGTAGGCTGTGGTCATAGTGATGGGGAGTGGCTGCTTGGCTTCAGAGAAGTGGCAGGTCAGCAAGCCCAGGAGGGATATGAATTCCCAGGCAAAGCCTGGGGCTGAGGGAGGAGGCACTTCCAGGGGGATCCAGCCCATAACTTCTACCCCACAGTACTGGCACTAACCCTTAGGAGTGTCCTTGTGACAAATGCTGTGATCCCTGGGAAAGGAGTCCTCATGTGTGAGAGACAGACAGGGACAGACCTTAGCATCAGGTAGGACTAAACCAGCCATAATCGAAGGGCAGCCCCACTGCCTCCTCGATCTCCCCTCAATGGGTCTCCTGGAAGGATAAGAGGCAGCAAGAGGAGCCCTAGGCAGGATGCCTCTGTGTCATGCCTGGGACCCTCCACAGTTCCTTCCTCCTACTCCCCCAGGTCAGTGGTTCTCCAGCTTGAGTGTGTATCAAAACTTCCTGAAGGATTTGCTAAAATGCAGATGCTGGTCACACCCTTGAGTCTCTGATTCAGAAGGATTCTGATGGGCCTGAGAATTTGCACATCTAGCAAGCTGCCCAGTTGCAGATGCTGCTGGTCTGGTGGCTTCAGTTCTCCAACCTTGTTTCCTCCCATTCCCTCCCACACTCACCCTATGTCTTTCTTCATGTTGATCCATTCACTAACAATTCCAATCCCCATCCTTACCTCTTTTCTTATCCTGCCTGAGAAATTACTGCTCCACCTTTGTTTTGTTGTTGCTGATGTTGTTTTTTCCAGTACTGGGGATTGAACTCAGGACCCTGCACTTGCCAGGCAAGCACTTATTCTACTGAACTAGCTATCTCCCTGGCCCCATTGCTCCACGTTTGAAACCTAATCTTGATGCCACTCCTTCCAAGAAGCCTTCTGTGACCCTTCAAAGTAGTTATTTATGTCTGTATTTCCCAAAAAGTTGAGTTGAAACTCTGCTAATTGGAGCCATGCTTCTCAAACTTGTGTGGGCTCATGAAACAACTTTTTAAAATACCAGAGCTGGGGCTGGGGAGATGGCTTAGTGAAATAAGCGCTTCCCTGGCAAGCACCAGGGCCTGAGTTCAATCCCTGGTTCTGCCAAAAATAAAAATAATTTTTTTTTTTTTTTTTTTTTTTTTTTTTTGCGGAAGCGGGGATTGAACTCAGGCCCTTGCGCTTGCCAGGGAAGCACTTATTCCACTGAGCCATCTCCCCTGTCCCAAAAATAAATAAATAAATAAAGTACCAGAGCTGACTGAGTTTGTCTGGATGAACCTGAAATTGTTTCCTGCTGACTCCCAGATGATGCCAAGGCTGGGTCCTCAGGTCACACGTCCACTGCAGTTAGAGCATTTCTCAGTCAGCTTTGTCCCTAGCTGGGGACATGACTGCTTCAGGTGGTGTAGGATTCAGGAACCACTTCACTAGCTAGAGAGTCAGTTATGTCTCTTGTCCCAACTGTCTGTTCAGTGATTCCATGTTGGTGGCTTGAAATTGACTGTGATGAAAGTGTTGACATGATTGACAATGCTGACAGAAATCAGCAAGTGCTGCAGATTAGACTTCTTTCCTTAGAAGACTGAACACCATTCACCAGCACAAGACTCCTCCCTGCTCACTTCCATCTCTGGATGGGCTCTTTCGAGGACCAAACATGTCTTTTCCTCACTGTGCATCTCGAACATTAGGCTGTTGATTTTTCACTTCTGCTGGTCTGTTAGAATCACTTGGGGAGTTGTAAACAAAGCTCTATCCTAGACCAGTTACATCAGCATCCAGGTGGAACCCAAACATTGGCATTAAAACGAAAAGAGTCAGGCAAAGCCCTGACCCTTGAGCACAGCCAGGCAATGGGCTTCTTTTGATTGATGAGTTGAATGGTCACAATGATGGCTATAGCTGATATGTGTTGACTTATCCTTGTCCTGTTATTTTCCTGTTGTTGGCTCCCTTTCTTTCCCCCTCTCTATGTTTGTTTGTCTTGCCTGGTGGATTCCTTCTTTTGGAGTTCATAGAGTAGTAGTCCTTGTTATCTCTTTCTGGAATGTCCTTCAAACATTTTGGAGTCCTGGTTTGATGGTCATAAATTTCCTTAGATCTTCTTTGTCATGGAATTATCCTATTTCTCCATCAGTTTTCAAAGATAGTTTTGTGGGCTACATCAATCTGGATTGAAGATTGTTTTCCTTTAGAGCTTGAAAAGCTTACTTCCAAGCTCTTTTTGATTTGAGGGCTTGTGCTGAGAAGTCAGCTGTGATTCTGATGGGCTGTCCTTTCTATATGATTTGTTTCTTTCCCCTAACAGCTTTTAAGATTCTACTCCTTATTGAATTTCTGGAATC